TATATATATATATATATATATATATATATATATATATATATATATATATATATATATATATATATATATATATATATAATGAATATTTTTTAAGACAGTTAACTTTTTTCCGAACTATTCGGGAGGAATTCAGGAAATGACGGGTCATTTTCCCACGGTTGCCTTGAAAGGATGGAATGTTTCCATCTAAGGGAAAGTAAGAAGTGAATGATTAACGGCGCAATTTTTTAAAAATATTTGGAAACATTTGAAGTGGACGGAATTATTTACATTGCATGTGAATTGCATTTCCTGAAATGTGTTTTGATGATCGAACTGAGTGTAAGAATCAAACATATTTTACCTATGATATTTGGAGTTATTTACCTGATCGGGATTGAGTTGGAAGTAGAAACTATCATAGAGTAACCGATACAATCCGGTTCTCCGATTTTTGGTATTTCCGTATGGATTTACGGTTCTAGTGAAATTATTAATAAGCACGACGATAATTAAGTAAGCAAATGAACTGTCAGTCATTTCGTAAGGAACACTTCTTAATTGACAGCAAATTTTATTCAGTAATCGCTTTGATTTACTTTTGGATTGCGCAACATTCAACAATCAGACTTTCGGGTTGTTTGCAACATAAGGATTGTTGAATTTGTTAAAGGACAGAAGTTGAAATATCATTTCCAATGCTAGTTTTTCTTACGGTTCTTACCGCTCCATTCATTCATAATGCAACAGTTCTTATCAAAGTAAACTGAACCATTTACCGATTTGTGTTTCTGTTTTTTTCTTCAGTGTAAAAATCGATTAGGAAGGGCGCAAAGGGTTCGAAATGATATGATTGATCGTAAAATGATGAGAAATTCTGAACAAAGACAGCATTTCGAGCATTCACTTATGCAAAAAGTCCAATTCCGCAAATGGCGACACTGGATATTCGGCAAATGTGCGACACTGGATTTTGAAAAACACATACCTTCCAAAGGACCGTAAATTGCGCTTAAATGCCGCTTGGACTTTTTTTTGTTTTAAATTTCGATTAAATGACACAAAAATACATCAAATCTGTTCTCATTCCAAATAAAAAAGAATGAGAACATACCAGTGGATTGTAATTAAGAAAATATTCGAAATAACACAATGCGCGTTCTCTCAGAGGTATATCCGGTGTTATTGCCGAGAGTTCCGATGTTTCGCAGTCTGCAACTCCATGACTTATTTGTTGTCCATCTTTCAGCGCATTCAACTGAAACGAATGATGCATAAAAGTGATCTTGAAGAATATTCAAAGAAGTTTATGAGGTTTTTGTTCGGCTCACAGAAACAAGGTGTCATTTTTCTTCTGGCATTGACACAAATATATTTTTAGGATTTGAGAGGGAATCTTTTTTATAAGAATTGAATTTTAGGCAATCATTCGCTTGTCCCAAAAGGAGAAGTGTCGGGGATTAGTATCAGTGTTTTCAATATTCTTTTACCTGCTTTTTTTTTGGCTCATTTTTTATTCCCAGCCAACCGAAAAAGACAAACGGAACTAAATTCTCTTCCCGACATGACAATTTCTTTTGCAGGTATTTCGTGTTGGTTTATGCTCTCCCTTTCGATAATAAACATTATTAATCTGAAGTTTCTTATTTATAAAGGAAGACGGACCAGTCTTCCAAGATAACAAAATGCTGGAGTCTAATTTAAATGATTCAAGCGAATTACTTCTTAATTAGTCACATAGGGACACATACTGCTACATCTCTTGTCACAGTTCCCATTTTAAATGTTTGATAAATTGATATTGAAATCAAACTTTGGGAAGGAAAAGTTGCAACAATGTTGAAATAATGAATGAGATGAATACCTGCAGGATTCCTTCAGAAGTGAATGAAATTTGCGCTGACCTGTAAATTTAGCAACGATTGCTGATAAATGGGCGCAATGGGCGTGTAGTGTGAAGCGTTCTTTTTATGTAACCATTCTGCGAAACTTTGATGATGGTCTCTTTGCATGTACCGATAGAAACATTCTGAATCTCGTCCTGATTCCAACAATCTCTTATCGATGTATTCTCCGTTACTGAAAGAGAGACAACAACTGGAAGTGATTTGTTTAAATTTATGGAATTTTGAGTTAATTTAAAAGTTTCTCGTATCTTCTGATTTAAAGTGAAGAATTGTGATCAATTTACCTATTTCACCTTTTAAAAGCGTTTAGAAGGTGAGGTGCAAGGTAAACTGATGACAATTTTTATCGCTTGAATGCTTCATGCAAAAGTCCCCACCCAAATTTATTCTTTAATTTTACGGGTGATTTCTTAAACTACCAGGTATTGGTGATTCAGCAATACCGTGTGTATTAAGGCATTGATTTACATTTAAAATCAAGGAAATAAATGGAAAGTATAAATCAAAGACGTTTAGCGCAGAGATTTCGAAGATAATCACTGAGCCAGATACCATAGGTAAATATTTAGCCTAGACTAAGCTAGGCTAATACTTCATATTAAATAATCTGTGGCGCTTTCCACCACATTACGCTTTCCACATTACTATCTGTTGTGACTTGTTT